TATACATAACATAACTGTAAAGTAGACAGGGTGTCTGCCTCACGGACTAAAACTGGTAGTTGGTTCCACAGGAGAGGAGCCTGATAACTAAAATGTCTGCCTCCCATTCTGTCATAATGGACTTTAAATATCTGACCCCCATGCAGAGAACCACTCAGAGACCAAGGGTAAAAGGTACCTGGTTTATTGAGGGTTAGCAAAAACACAGATGGAGAGAGATATTGTGCTGGGTAATACTGTTGGACCTCAGCGGACTGGTGAACCAGAACCTCTGAAGGGGAGATCACAATGATCAGTTCAGGGACCGTGGGAAAAAAGACAGAGGCTTGTATATTGCTTGAGAGGCACTCACGGTTTGGGGGGCTCTTGATTATTCTTTGAATCCAGTTTGTGGGGTTAAATCCAGAGAAGAATGAACTCTTTGGAGAGCGGACAGGCAGACTAACTTTGGACCCAGAGGAGTAAAGGAGCGGTCTTTCACTTGGTTTTCCAGAAGTGGACTTGAACGGATCTTGTGGAGGTTTTCCCTTGCTTGGTGTGACTCAGTTAATCCTTCGAGGGGTAGAAGGTCCAGGCTTATCCAGTGATACAGGAAGGCTTCCTAGCGAGGAACAAAGACAAAGCAAGTTTAGACTCAGAGAGACAAGGCTAAGTTTAGACTCTGCAAATCTCAGTTTGGCTAGAGTACCCAATACTGGAGTGACAGCCCACTGCTCAAATACTCCTCTGGTAAAGATCCAACGAGCCGCAGGTGTGCAAGTAGGCCCAATGAGAACAGGGCCCCATCTGGTGGTGGAGAGAAGAAAAACACAAAAACAACCCACACAAACTGGAATCCTAACACATTCTATTTTTAGAAATTCTAGGAACCACTTGTAAACCTGCAGACTGATATTATGGGTAAGGGGGAAGATGGAACCTATTTCTATAGTGTTTTTTATGTAAAAAGGAGATTTTTTTATTCTATTCTGGATATAACAGGAAGCCAAGAAAAGGCTTTTAACATTTAGTGGAATTAATTTGGTTTCTGATGGTGAAGTTACGATTGTCAAGCTTTGAAGTAGCACATAAAAGGAATAATTTGTCATTATCATTTTTGGACAAGATTGTTTAAATGTTTGCAACATTCCAAAGGTAAAATAATTAAATTCTAGAAACCTATTTGATATGAGATTTTAATGAAAATTCCTCTATAAACACCAATCTTTTATATCATTTTTAGAAGTAAATATGAGATTGGTGGGCATACACAGTTACAAAAAAGAAATGTTCTTATGGTTTTACATTTGCATGGAGGAAACCAATGTTTATATATATCCATAATAATTATAACCATCAATTTCAATTGATCAGACTGAAGAGTTGTGTGTCCTCCTCCTCCTCGCCTGGGGCTTTGAAAATTTAAATAACTAGGAGTTGATTCATCTGTGTTATCATAATCCTCTTGCTGCAGCCAGGTTTCTGTAGGACAAATTAAATCAAATAGATATTCAAAAATCAAATGATTTCTAACAAACTCTGAGGAATGAGACTTTGGATTCAAATTAGCAACTCTAAATGGATCAAACCTAAAGTTTTCGGTTTCACAATGGCTGCTATAATTAGTTCAATCAACTCAAGTAGGTCAACTCAGAGTTGAACACGTGAATAACAAGTATGAAAAGCCATTACCAGTTGAGCTCAATTCAACGAGTCACCATGACGATAGACAAACAGAAGTGCCTGTTTCACCCCAATAAAACGTCAGTATATGTAAACCATTCTTAATGTCTGCTGATCTTTGAGGAAATAAAAAAAACAGAATGAAACGTGATAATTTAATTTAAAAGAAAAACTAAACATAGAATAAGTAACTTTAAAAAGGGTTGTTTTAATAAATAAAAAAAGGAAAAAAGCTACTATAAACACTTAACAGCTAACTTGCACAAAGTCACACATTGATCCACCAAGAGTCCAAGATGCTAATTTTATCTTCCTAAACAGGTTAAAGTGATAGCAGAGCAATCCTCAGATTACACCCTCACGCCCCTCTCTGGGGACCAGTACACATCCTGCCTTTGCGCCAACGAGCGGAAGACCCTCAGCTGGACCATGACAGCTACAGCTTTGGGTGAGGAGGAAACTTTTTCTGTTTCTACAACAAACTGCAGTTATTATAACAAAGGTGATGGACTGTGGGAACAAATCTCTGTTTCCCTTCAGACCTGAAAAGGTTTGGATCTGAAGGAGGAGCACAGGCTGTGAGCA